GGGTGATTTTATCCTTTCAGCTTCCTCAGCATGTTCTCTTTGGCCCCTAAACCCATCTCTGCCCCCGACTCTTGAAGTTTGGGTTATTTGGTGAATTCCACTGTGAAAACTGATGCAAAGCACCTATTCAGTTCCTCCGCCATTTCTTTGTTCCCCATTACTACTTCTCCAGTCTCATTTTCCAGCGGTCCAATGTCCACTATGCCTCTTTCTTACCTTTCTGATAACTTTAAAAAAACTCATACAATCTTCCTTTATTTTATTAGCTAGCTTGCTCTCATTTTTCATTACCTTCCCCCATATCTTTTTCAGTTCTCCTCTGCTGGTTTTTAGAGGCTTTCTGATCCTCTGGCTTCCTTTTAATCTTTATCACATTGTGTGCTTTTTCTTTTGCTTTTATGCTGTCCCTGATTTCCTTTGTCAGATATGGTTACCTCATCCTCCCCTTAGTATGTTTCTTCCTGCTTGAGGTGAATTTCTGCTATGCCTCCTGAATTACCCCCAGAAGCTCCTGCCATTGCTGTTCCATCATCTTCCCTGTTAGGGTTCCCTTCTAATCAACTCTTGCCAGCTCCTCCCTCATGTCTTTGGAGTTCCCTTTATTACTAATGTGCTGAGTTTATAGTACCTTCTTGCCATTCCAGGTGCAAGGAGGACAAGTGCCTTTGTTGCTGGCTTTAGCTAGGATCGGCTAACTCGGCTTGACTAGGAATTGAATGAGTGACATTCTATGTATGCTAACTATTACTGGAATATTGTGCCCAATTCTGGGTACTACACTTTAGAAAGGATATGAAAACATTACAGAAGGTGTCCAAAAGATTTACTAGAATTGTTTTTAATTCATTTATGGGATGTAGGCATTATTAGCTAGGCCACGAGCCAATAACTGCCAATCCCTAATTCCCCTTGGGAAAGTGATGGTGAGCTACCTTCTCAAAATCTGCACTCGTTGGATGTAGGTACACCCACAGTGCTGTTATGAAGGGTGTTCCAGGAATTTGACTCAGTGATGAGATATGGTGATGTAGTTCCAAATCTGAATGGTGTGTGCTTGTTAAAAACCAGAGGGCAAAGGTTGTTTAGTTAAGAGCCTAGGCATGTACTTCTCTAGTCAGAGATTTACTTTGCATAACGTACACATCTCAAAATTTCAACTGCACTGATTACTTATTCCCCAAATACACCCAGTCAAGTACTTGCTCAATTATCCCTTAATTCACATATTCCCTTGTTCCATTTGGTTTCGGGCATCCCTGCAGAGCCTAGTCAATAGTCATGTGGTTTGGAGGGGAACGTGCAGGTTGTGATGTTTGCATCTGCTGCCATTGTACTTCTAGGTGTCGGAAGTCGTGTTTGGAAGGTGCTCTTGAAAGAACTTTGAGTTACTGCAGTGCATCTGGTAGATGGTAGAGACTGCTGCACTGTGCATTGGTACTGAACGTTAAATGTGGTGGATTGGGTGCCAATCAATCAGGCTGTTGGATGATGTTGAATTTCTTGTGTTGTTGAAGCTGCATTTATTCAAGCAGGTGGAGAGTATTCTGTCACACCCCTGATGTGCCTTATAGATGGTTGAACAAACACTGGGGAGACAGGAAGTGAGTTACTTGGTGCAAAATTCGAAGCCTCTGACCAGCTATTGTAGCCATACTACTTACTTGGCTAGTCCCATTCAATTTCTGGCCAATCGTAACCTTCACAATGTTGTTCGCGGGTGTTTGGTGATGGGAATGTAGTGAACATCAAAGGGTGATGACTAGATACTTTCTTGTTTGAGATTGCCAGTACCTGATACTTGTAAGACACTAATGTTACTTGCCACTTTTTAGCCCAAGTTTGCCTGTGGTATAGATTCTGCTGAATATGGTTTGGGGCTAACTCAGAATCTGAGGTGTTGCGAATGGTGTTGAACTTTGTGTAATCATCACCACTTCTTACATTTTAAGATGGAGGGAAGGCTGAATGGCCTCCTTTTTGTATTGTAGTCATTTAATGATTTTACAATAATATATTTACAAACAGCATTTACATTGGAAGGTACAACGTGAAAACAGGTTGTTGACCCCAAACATGATTTGGAGAGTCAGGTTTGTTTGTTTAAAAAAACATTAAAACACTGGAGCCTAGAACAGTGACCACGAAGCAAAAGAACAAATAGGGCTGTCCTTTGCTTACGAGGACAGATCATCTAACTTCTTCTCTCACGTCCTTAATGACATCAAACAATCCCTATTTTCTAGCTCAATCCTTATACTTTGCAATATCTCTGTTATCATACTATGTGAGAATTACTTTTATCTTTAAATTAGTCCATCACCAACTTAGTAGCTTTCTTTCTAAAGTCACACATGTGTTTTCTTACCTGTTGAGGCCTCCCAGTTGGCTTATTTTCCCCACAGTACTAAACCACATTAGCCAAAATCAACACCATGCAATGTAACTGTAGGTCTGTCTCACTATCTTTCTTGATGTTTTTGATCTCTCAGCCCAGCTTTCTGTGTGTACCTTCTCATCATGATGATAACGTACTTATTGGTCTTCTTTTGTTCTACCATCAGTCACTTAGTCACAGTTGTCTACACTGAAGCCTCTTCCATTCCATCTCATCCTGCCATTACGTCTCTCTGCATTCATTGGCCTCCTTCTACTCCTTTTTCTCCCAGAAAACCCTCTTCTTTCTCCTTCTTTAGTGTTCTGTCGTTACCCTCGAAGCACATTACAGGGCAATGTTTCGCATTACATAATGAATATTATAAGAGTATAATAGGTGTAGTTCAATACTATTGCAGATTACAACCCCTTACATTGGTGCAGTGTATTGCAGGAAAGTTCAAACTATTGAGGACCAAGAGCTGTGTGGGGAAGCTGCACATCGACTGAAATTTTTGCTTCAGTCTGTCAGTTAAAAAACTAATATATTTTTATTAACAACAGAGCAGTAAGTGAATTGCAGATAATCCAGCTATGGTCAACCTCGTATAATAGGAGCAACCAACTTTTGTTGGTTGTGGTTCACTATATTGTGATCACAAATCCAGCACATCTTTTGGTAGTCCTTATTTGGATCAACACAATGGGATTATTCAGCAGGTAATGGCAGGGAGCAATAAACAAAGTAAAAGAGTTGTTTTATAAGACAAATGTCCTTGATTGTTTTCTAATTATTACATTTCTGATCTCCCCATCTACACATTGTGTACCAAAATTAAACCTCCAGGAAGTAAGTTGAGACAAATGCACAATCAATCGAAAGAACTGAGGGCATTGTTGCTAAGTTTGCAGATGACACAAAGATAAGTGGAGGGACAGGTAATGTTGAGGAAGCGGGGAGGCTGCAGAAGAACTTGGACACACTAGGACAGTGGGCAAAGACGTGGCAGATGGAAAACAATGTGGGCAAGTATGAGGTTATGCACTTCGATCGGAAGAATAGAAGCATAGACTATTTTCTAAGCAGGGAAAGGCTTTGGAAATCTGAACCACAAAGAGACTTAGGAGAATCCTGAACCAGGACTCCCAAGGTTAACATGCAGGTTTAGCTGGCAATTAGGAAGGCGAATGCAATGTTAGCATTCTTTTCAAGAAGGCTAGAATACAAGAGCAGAGATGTACTGCTGATGCTGTGTAGGTTCTGATCAGACTGTATTTGGAATATTGCGAGCAGTTTTGAGCCCCATTTCTAAGGAAGGATGTGCTAGCATTGGAGGGAATCCAGAGGAGGGTGTTTGTACAAATGGTTTTGAGGATGAAGGGCTTGTCATATGAGGAGCAGTTGAGGTCTCTGGTTCTGTACTCAGTGGAGTTTAGAAGGATGACAGGGAATCTGATTGAAACTTTTTTTAAAAAAAAGTGAGACACCTAGACAGAGTAGAGAAGATATTTTCACTAGTTAGAGATACGAGAAACTGAGGGCACAGCATCAGAGTGAAGTGACGGTACTTTAGAACTGAGATGAGGAGGAAGTTCCTCACCCAGAGGGTGGTTAATCTGAGGAACTCCATACTGCAGAGGAGAATATGGGGAGAAGGTAGGAGAATGGGGTTGAGAAATGTTACCCATGATTGAATAGAGGAGCAGATGGGCTGAAGGGTTTAATTCTGCTCTTATATCTTATGATGTTATGGTCTCATTTGTTGTCTGCTTTTTCCTTTCACCCTTCCCCTGTTTTGGCAACTTTTTCTCTCAATTCTACATAGCTGACTATACTGCTGACCCTTCTGCAATGAGCATTCTTAATGTTTGAATACAAGGTAGCAAAGAAAGGCTAAAACTTGTGGAATTTTACTACACCGTATCTCAATATCTGTAATCTGAAGAAGGTTGAGAAATGAATGTGATGTACTTAAGGTCCGTCAGAACTTACATGTGGGGGTGCATCTTGGAGTGATTTACAGAGTTATAGAGTCTGAACCTTTACAGGGTGAATGATGTAATTTCAACTTGAGGAAACTCCTAGATACATTTCTAACAGCACTGGAAATGGATAAAAGACAGGTGTCTGTTGCTTTTCTCAGCAATTAATTCATGATTTATAAAATTGCAGGAAATGCTGAAAGTCATGAAGGATGATTGCGAGGTGAAAACTTCAGTTTAACCCATCTTAATTAGGTGAAGATGGAGCAGACATGCTATCATAACAATGTGATTGATCTGTTTTGTTTCTACAATATTTGGTTTGGTTCTGGATTTCTGATGATCCTAGTTAATCTTAACTGAGGAAGCAATTTGGATGCTACAACTATCTTTGGTATCCAGGTACCAGGGAAAGGAAACCAGCCAGGGCTTCCACTGGAAAAGTGTCTTTGTGTAAGGATATCCGATAAGCAAAAAATAAGGCTGAGTTGTGATCTCCCCAGCGTCAAACAGTTTGTCTGCATTCACTGTCTCGTACTTTTAAGAGTGGCCACATGGGCTGTAGTACTTGTGAGATTGCGCTGCAGCAAGTGCCAAAGCCTTTTCGTTTTTTAACAGTATTCTTCTTTTGATGTTTCTTTCAGCGCATCTCCACCTCCTCATCACCTCACAACAATGTCACCTCAGCTCCAAAGCTGCCATCAGAAAGGTGAGTTTACTTTTTCTTTTTAGAAACTAGCATACTTTGATAAACAGAGAGCAGAAGTGGGAATTACTTCTTGACTCCCTTGGGAGAGGTGATTGTGCAGTAGTATTGTCGCTGGACTAGTAAATCAGAGACCCAGATAATGTTCTAGGGCCACAGCAACAGCTGGTAGAATCTAATTTCAATAAAACTCTGGAATTAAAAATCTAAAGTCTAATGCTGACCACGAATCAACCATCAATTGCCATAAAAACCCATCAGGTTCACTAATATCCTTTTAAGTAAGTAAAATTGCCAGCCTTACCTGGTCTAGCTGACATGTGACTGCAGACCTACAACAATGTAGTTTATGCTAAACAAACCTCTGAAATAACTTATCGATCCACTACATTCAAAGAAAACTATGAATGGATAACAAATGCTGGCTTAGTCAGCGATGTGCATATCCTGTAAATGAATGAATTTTTTTTAAAAAGTAAATTTGTAATATAAAATGGCTGACACTTTTTACTTTAAAAATATCAATGTAAATGTCCTAATATTTACTCCCGTGTACTTTAAGCCTTTTCAGACATGTGACAAAATGCCATTTAACTGAATCAACTCTCCAAAGAGAAATAACGGGGAAAAATCTTCTATTTCCCTTTCCCTTACCAACTTTTTTCCCCTTGTGCCTTGAAGAACTAGAGGTCACTGTTTTAAAAATAAGAGGTCACCTGTTAAACAGATGAGGTGAATTTCTTTCCCTCGGCAAACCGTGAACCTTTTGAACTCTTTTCCTCAAAAATCAGCAAAAGCAAAGATATTGAATATTTTTAAGGCAGAGGTGGCTAAATGTTTGGTGAGCAAGGGGTTGAAAGATTCAGGTATGGACAGGAATGTGGATTTGAAGTTCTAATCAGATTAGCTATGATCTTATTAAATTACAGTGCAGATTCAAGTGTTGAATATCCTATTGCTCCTTGTCTGTATAACACCTGACTCCTATTAAGCACGATTCTATGAGCTGCCAGTACCGTGTTGAGTTTTGGTACTGAGCATTGATAGGTTACTCAAATGCAGGGTTAGTTGCTCATGCAATATTTCACACAGTGCAATTCCAGCAGGGATTCGGGAAATTGAAAGTTTAAACCTTTTGTAATGATTATTCTCAATGATGGAAGAGCCCAGCAAATAAGTGCAAAAGATAAAGCTGAAGCATTCACAGCAACCTTGGAAATATATCGTCTTTCCTTCACTGTCGCTGGATCATAATCCTGAAATTCCTTCTAATGGCATTTTGGGTCAACCCATAGCAGGTGGACTGTAGCAGTTCAAGAAGGCAGCTCACTACCACCTTCTGAAGGGCAACCAGGGACAGGCAATAAATGCTGGCCAGCCAACGAGGCTCACATCCCACAAATGAAAGAAAGAAAGAAAAAAAAACACAGAAGAGGCCCTTTGGCCCATAACCATGAATGCTACGACATTGAGTGATAATACAAGTACTTTTTAAAGATTGAGCTTTCCCATCTTTATTACCATCCCAAGCAGTGCATTCCAGATTCCACCATCCTGTGGGTGAACAATGTTTCATCAAGTTCCCTCTAAACCTCCTGCTCTTCACCTTACAACTATAACCCCTTGTTATTGATCCCTTCACTAGAGAGTACACCTGCTTCCTATCCACCACATCCATGCCCTCATAATCTTACACACCTCAGTCAGGTCCCCCATCAGCTGGAGTGTGCGGATACCTTTTTCATTGTTGGCAGCACTGGAATTGTTGTGTGTAGAATTTCCATGCTACACTTGTACCTATGATTACCCAAGCTTAGCACTATAATTGGCTGTTGGTAGCTGACTAAAATCTGGCCAGTAAGAGTAAGTTGTTCATAATTTGTATCCGTTCTCCCAGGAAAATAGAACTATTATTTTACTTACTAGTGAAGAGACCTGATTGCAGATTTTAGCATTTGTACATCCCTTTGCCATGTTAGGGTTGACTTGTGTATTTGAAGGTTCATATAAAAATTGTTTGTTTATGATCACTTTTTATGATCATTTGAACTTGCATATTTCTCGTTAGGTTCGGATATCGATGCTGCCACTGCTATGATGTTGCTCAATTCATCTACAGAACAAAGACTTCCTCAGTGTAAGCCTTGCTTTTTCATTTGTGGATTATGCATCAACAGATTGTGGTAATAAAACTATAATTCACTTTTCTGTGTCAAATGTTTCTCTTTCCAAATTTGCTACACCCTTCCTCAGAATCTGCTAACTGTAAAACAAATCCCATCTCTTGATGACATCATTGAAACCTAATCACACTTTTTCCCCCAGCCTTGTATCTTGCACTGTTTCAGAAATCTATCTAATTGTCAATTATAATGCTTGAAACATAGCTCATTGCATCTTCTGTGTGCTAACGAACTCTCCTTATAAATTTGTTTCTGCTCAACACTCTCCTAACCTGCTTACTAATCATTTAAATTAACAATGGCCTTATTGTGGACTTTTCAATGAAAGTATATATTCTTTTCCTCTTCACTCCAAATGAATCTTTTTTTTAATTTTAAAAAGAATCTTAGCTTTCCATTTTATTTGAAAAATTTCCAGCATCTCCAATTGGCTCTTAGTTTCTCACCTTGACATTTATCCCAGTAAATCTATATGGTGTGATCCTATTGCTTTGGCATCCTCTCTAAAATAGTGCATCCAAAAGTGGACTTTAATGTCATCGGGATGGCCTGAACGTCGATTTATATAAATTTATCATTGCTTCTTTGTTATGCCCATATTTATTTACTTGACTCAGTCTGGTGATTTGTTTTTAATGTCTTTATCTTTCTGCATATATTTCAAGAAGTAATATTTCAAACTCTTAAAACCTTCAGTGGCTTTCTTTCATTCTCACATTCCTTGTTTTTCTTCCCACATTGCATATCTTGTCCTTCTTTGCATTTGCTACTTGACTGTCCATTCAGCTAATCTTCCTGTGTCTTCGTACAGTCTTGTATAGTCCTCCTCACTATTTGCTAAACCTCCTAGTGCTGTGTTGTCAGTAACCGGAGATTGTTGTCTGTGTGCCCAAGTCCAACTTATCTATATACACAGAAGAAAATAAAAATGGTTCCATCCTGACGCCTGGGTTCCAATCCCCATTCTGGAATGGATAATTGTGGAGTTCTGAGCTTTGCTGGGGGAGGCAGGTGTGGGAGCAGGTTGGCTATCCGCCCCTCCTAATATAAAGTCACAGATCTGAAATGTTAGCTCTGTTTCTCCTACCACAAATACTGCCAGCCTGCTTAGTATTTTGTTTGTCGTTTTTTTTAGATTTCCAGTATTCACAGTATTTTGCTTTTGTTTATTTTAAAATTGTTTAGGTTAGGATTAGGTTTTGAAGTTTTTAAAATATTAATTTCTCACCCAATTCGTGGATTAAAATTCACCTCACAAGCTCTGTCTCATATTTTTAAAAATAAAAATTAAATCCATAAAAATTGCTGCAATTCACTTGTAGAACTCCCCACAGTCTGTGATGAACCATGTAACCTGAGATTAAAGATGACCTTAAGGAATTTAATTGAAACACTAAATACAGGACAATGAAGGAACATCAGATGCCTTGACTTTCTAATATTGTTCTGCAGTAACAGAGAATGGAGTAAAGGAATAACCTCGTAATACAGTAAAAACATTTCTGTCATTTTCCTAAAATAAAAGTTGAATTACAATCCCATTCCTCAGACAATGAAACCAGTCAGCTCCCTGAACTTTATCTTAAAAATATTCTTTCTTACAAGTGAAGAAGGTCCTCCCAGACCCATGCAAAATAGAAAATCAAAATTGTTCCTCTATTTATCTTCAGTAAGTGTTTATTAATATGTCTCTAATTTTACTTGTTTTAGCAGGTGGGCCATCTCAGCAAAACAGTCCAACAATGAGCCGAAAACGAAGTCACAAACGTGCATTTTCGAAGCTTGCTCCCACTTTGGTGAAAATAACTGAAGCGACATGCAGAACAAAGTAAAACATTGTTCAGTTTGATTCTATAGAGTAACTGATCCTTTTCTAATGTCCTTGGGTGTGAAAATGGTGGGAAATTATCTCGCATGAAAATAAAACCCTATGGGCTAAATGATTTAGTTCACCCACATGGAACACAGTATCAAGTAAGAAGGTCTCTGGTGTCAGCCCTGGTTTATGGGTCGGTCAGCAATCTTCTCTCAGACCAGCAGTAGCCATCTGACAGTTGACCATATGTTTGAGAGAGGAAGGAAATTAGTTTATGATACTGAATTGCTTTAGTGTTGTAGATTACAATTATGTTCAAGAAAATAAATGGTTTCAAAGAATAACTTGGAAATCAGATTACAGAATAGGTTTGGATGATGGACCTGAGTTGTTTTGTATTGCTTCTAGGGAAGGGGAATAGTTTTCAATCATTGAGTAGTTCAACCAAATTGGGACAGACAACTGTCCTATATAATCTGTCTAATATAATCATTTGTATGTTTTTGTCAAAATACTAACAAATTGTTCAGGAAAATGGTTTTTGTACTTAGCAAACTATCAACTCTCCTCCTTCTCAATAAAAATTTGTTATACAGAGAATTCTACACTTAGAAGCAAAAGTGGCATGCCAAGTAATATATGCCAATCATCTGCATGCCCTAAAAGTTTTATCCTAACAGGTTTAATTTCAAAATGACAACACAGATGGCAAGGTTTTTTCTTAACATACTGTAACATATAGTTCTTCTTTTTAAAAATGTCTTAGGTTTATAGTTCACTCCTATCTGGAATTCCTTTCTGTATGCGGGTCTGGGAGGTAAAAGTGTGAGTCTTCGTTCTTTATCCTAATTGTGCACTTCGGTTGAAAATAATTTTCTATCTTCTACCTTTGCATGCACCAGATCACAAACTTCAACTAAATCCCATTGTTGTGATACTGAAAGCTCAAGTTTCTGCAATCTTTATTCACGTCTTAGTTTTCTGACAGTAGGGCCTGCACTTTTGCCAGTATGGAGAATCTCTTTCCAGACTGATCTACCATTTTCACCTCCATGGAAAGACATTCTGCTGTAGCAAAAATTACAGCTAAGCTCAGAAATTGGATGTCACACCTCCAAACACAGTACTTCCCATTTTCAGGAGGGTCATGTTCGGATTTGCTTTTGGATAGGTTACTGAAGCAGCTGGCCATTTAAGTCACCAACTGTCTCCAATTCAAGTGGGATTTTTGGAGTCTTGAATTGTAAAACCTCAAGTGTGGAGAGTCAATCTAGTAAGAACAAATCTGATCTTTGTATATTCCTCTGGATAGCCAGAATATCTGGATATCCCTTTGGAGTGGTATGGTGTCCGTTTGAATCTGATTCCAGAGCATCATTGGAGAAGGTAAGGTCCCCCTTTAGATAGGGTGAAGTGTCCTTTGGAGTAGATCAAGTACCCTTGGATTTCAGAAAAGGTGTTTTAAATATCCATGAAAAGTGCATAAACTCATTACTGCCGAGCTCATTGCTCACCCCTGTCTATCACTTATTGTTTTTGCTGTTTGGCAAGCAAATTGTCCTGTTTGTAGCTTCACCAGATTGACACCTCATCTTTCAAAACGCTTGCTGCAGCTGCTAGCTTGCCCTTCTAAACTCTTAAACACTTATGACATTAGGGGTGAAGCCTCTCCATGTTCAACAGCTCATGAAAAGTCTCAGTCATATGCAGACTGCCTTCTTGTAGTTAAATATTTACATTGTATGGGGGAGAAGGCTAACCAAGCTGTTCCTGATGTCCATTCCCAGACTCTTCGTTGAATTAGGGTTAGTAACCTGGCTTGATGGTAATGGTACACCAGCGGAATATGCTGAGCCATGAGGTTGCAAATTGTGTTGGGAGTATAATTCTACAGCCGTTGATGCCCACAGCACCTCTTGGGTGCCTGGTCCTAAGTTGTTAGATCTGTCTGAAGTCAGTCCCATTTAGCATGGTCCTGTATAACACAATGGACAATGTCCTCCATGTGAAGATGCAACTTTGCAGTTGTCATTGCTAAGGATACTGTCTTGGACAGATGCATCTGTGGCAGGCAGATTTGTGAGGATGAGGTTATGTATATTTTTCCCACTTGTTCGTTCCTCTGTCACCTGCCTCAGACCCTGTCTGGAAGCTGTGCCCTTTAGTCAGAAGTGTTGTTGCCAAGCCATTCTTGATGATGGACATTGAAGTCTCCCACCCAGAGTACATTCTGTACCCTTTCCACCCTCAGTGCTCCTTCCAAATGTTGTCCAACATGGAGGAGTGCTAATTCATCAGCCGAGGGCACACAATACATGGTCATCAGCAGGAGGTTTCCTTGCCAATGTTTGAGTTGATGACATAAGCCTTTCTAAGGTCTGGTGTCAATGTTCAGGAGTCCCAGGGTAATTCCCTCCCAACTGTATACCACTGTACCACCATCTCTGCTGCTAGCAGACAGGTCATACCCAGAAATGGTGATGGTGGTGTCTGTATCTGTGAGTATGGCTGTGTAAAGCTGTTGCTTGATTAGCTGTGAGGCAGCTCTCCTAATTTTGACACCATCCCCAGTTTCTGATTCCTTAGTTGATGCCAAGTGGTCTGTCTAATTTCATTACTTTTTGAGACTTTTTCTTGGTGAGTAGCTTGCTAGACCATTTCAGTCGACACTAGAGTCAATCTCAGTTAAGAGTCTGAGTCACATGTAGGCCAGACCAGGTAAGGACAGTAGTTTCCTTCCCTAATGGACATTAGTGAACTAGAGAGGTTTTATAACACCCAATTATTGTTTCCCGGTCACAATTAAATGTTTAATTCCAGGATCTTATTGAATTCAAATTCTACTATCTACCCTGCTGGGATTTAGATTTGGCCCCCCCAGAACAATACCTGAGTCTCGGTTACTAGTCCAGTGATAATATCACAATGCTAAGTGGTTTATAAATGATTTGATCTTACAGCGGTTGAATTTAAGGAGTTTTTTTATAGGACCCCAAAATCTCTTTTTAATGTTATCCTTAACTATTTCAGTACTGGTCATGAAGTATCTGTAAGGTCGCTTGACGAGTCCGTAATGGTTTAAATTTTCTGGACACACTTCCAGTCACAGCTGACAATATCAGACTTTGTATGCAGAAAGATCTGGTCTGGGCAAAACTAAAAACAGCTGGTAGTGATGGGAGATACCAAAGGCCCATCACAACCAGATTTAAAAGCTTTTTGGACCCAGGGAGACCAGATCACGATAGAGAAAGGCATATTATTATGAGCAAGAGTGATTGTCCTCACCAGAGGTCGCCGCCAGATACTGGCTGAACTTCACTAGGGTCAATTCAGCGGTTTCCAAAATATTGGCGAGAAGTTTTGTTTGGTGGCCAGGATTGGATGCGGACATAGCTGTCTTGATTGGGAAGTGTCCAGAGTGCCAACAAGGACAAAAAATTATTGCCGGCAGCTCCCCTGCATTTGTGGGAATGGCTGGGTAAACCCTCCCCGTCGACTATGCAGGTCCTTTCACGGACTCTGTGTTCTTAGTCATTGCGCCCATTCAAACTAGCTGGATGTGCGAAGAGTTCATTTGCCAAGCATGGGTACGATGACAGAAAACGTGTGTGCATCTTTTGCAATACACGGAACAAAAGTGTTGGTTACAGATGACAGGCCATCATTTACAGCAGGGAGTTTGAGTATTTCCTAAAGTTGAATGGTAGCCATCGTGTAAGGACAGCTCCATATCATCCATCATCCAATGGTCTTGCAGAAACAGCAGTCCAAACATTGAAGGCAGGCTTAAAGAAACAGTCTACAACATCACTAGATACAAAACTGTCCCAGTTCCTATTTGATTATAGGGCCATCCCTCATGCAATTACAGGGATAGTGCCAGCAGAGCTGCTAATGGGGAGAAGATTTGCACTAGGTTAAATACGATCTTCCTGGGGTTGGGGGGTGAATCGGCATCAGGAATGCCAGTGCTGGACACAAGACTCTGCTAAGTGAGAGACACAGTTTACTTCAGGGACAAAGTCTGGTGTAGGAACCACAGGAATGGCCCTGCATGCGTAAGAGGCATGGTCAACACGTGGTCAGGTCCAGTGACGTATGAAATGAAGTTTGGGTGAGTGCGATCGTCCTGAACAAGCGTGGGGACCATATGAAAGCTGCAAACTCGCAAACAGTGTGAGAGCAAAACATGTCTGGCTCCTCAACTGCCTTTCCGACTGTTCCAGAACCTGTGGGTTCTCCCTCTCCATCATGCATTGAAGATACCTCAGAATCTGAGTTGGACACGAAGGATGATTCTGCCTTGCCACCTGTGCTTCCTGAAGAGGAGAATGAACGTCTTCTGAGATGTTCCAGGTGCAAGAGGCAAGCTACTGTGCATTACATGCTACCGTAACAGAGGCAGAGTTGGAGGAACCTGACCAGGTGCTAAAACGCCCTAGGAGGAGCCACAAAAAAAGAACCGGCCCATGCCCTTCGACTCAGGGGGGAAGCGAAGTAGTGATTGTAATGAGGTCAGCCAGATGGACCTCATAAAATAGGAGTTCCCTGATTGGGACTGTTAATCTGGTCCACTCAGGGAGCCCTGGCTGACAGATATAAGCAGGAGTGCCAGAGGTTCTGTTCACTCTGAGTGTTGGCTCTGAGAAAGCTGAATCAGTGTTGAGGACTTTCCACCTGTAAATAAAGGATGATTTGGTGACAGGATATTGCTCTCTGGAGTTATTTCATCCTCCTTGATTCCTCTTCACAACTTTTTATCCTACCTATCCTTGTGTCATACTTAGCCTAAAACGGTGTGGATTTAAGTTTAAGTAATAGCTTAACATGAACTGTCCGTATTGTCGGGTGAATTGAGGTGATCACCTTAGGCTGTGTGCAATGAGGATCCTGGTGTAAGGACAATAGGCAGTGATGAATAATAACTACAGCAAAGTTAAACACTGTGTGTGTGTGTGTGTGTACACGTATGTGGAGGAGGAGAGAAAGAGCACACTGTGAAATTTCCCTGATGGAGGCTCGCCCTGCACAGTGTGATTTGCTGTATGTAATTTTATCAAAAGCTTTCCAGAAGTTGAGGTATGCCATAATTTATAACATCCCATCATCCATTTCAGGTGTCTCTTTCTTAAAAAGGAAGTTAATGAGGTAGGAGTTTATTATCATTTACTGCTTTTTTGAGATAGGGATAATCCATAGATTGACTTGCGCTAATTGAATCCATAGTAAGTTTATTGTTCTTTGCATACGCATTTTGAAAATAGGCACCAAGTTAACAAATTTCAAATTACATTAATTCAAATGTTGATTTTCTGTTTCAGGGAGAATGTCGAAACGTCTCCATCGCAGAAAGACAGCAAGAGTTTGTCTGGTTTACCAGTCATCAATAATGATCCTAAAGAAGAACACAATTATAGTGCAAATGGTACCGTGTCTCACCGTAGCGAGTCTAGGTCTAGTGTTTCATCCTTCTCCTCTGTGGAGGAATCCTATGAATTCATTCCAAAAGCTAGTCGTGGTGGGAGTGACGGAAGTGAAGGCTTCCACAGTGATGAAGAGTCTGAGGTAGATGACTGTGAGAATGAGTCAAATAACTTGTTAGGTGCCAGTGTCTACAAATCTGAGCGATGTGGAAAAGACTCCACTAGCATGTTACGTTTGGCTGGAAAAAGCTGCAGAACAGTGCAGCAAGAAGTTGATGAAGAGCTAAAGGAAGCCGCTGGTTCACTTTTGCACCTTGCTGGAATCCATATGTGCCTGGACTCTTTAGTCAGTAAACCAGGAAAAAGCAGGAATGAGAAACATAATGTGAAATAGCATGCTTCCTCTCACATCTGCCATTGTGTGTTATTTGGCAATATACTTCAATGGAGCTCCTTCTCAAAAGGAAGAAAAAAGCCATATGAAGACTGAAGTGTTTGCCCTTGAATATTAACTGCCATTTGTTTGCACCTTTCTGAGACAAGAAGTTCTCCATAGGTTGTACCAGTTCTTGAAAAGTGAACTTTACAGCAACCAACACATGCAATGGATCAGCCTGTATGCTGAAGTAGTTCTTCAGGCTGTTTTATTGGTTAAAATTTCAAGCAGTTGAAAAGTGAAAAAAAAGCTTTCTTTGAAAATAACTGAAGTGTTCAGGGTTGAAAAGGGGTGATGGGGCTTGGCAATATTTTAGACATCTTGAAGATCATACAATGTATTTTTCAACCTAATATGTTAGTGATATTTAAGAAGTTGACTCCCTCTCACGTTTTTCCCTTTCTTGAATATGGTTTCCTTCATTTTCAGAGAACCTTGAAAGTCACTAATGGTACGTCAATGTTCCTAGATTAATTAACTCTCTCAGGTGTTCGGGCACAATTCCACGAACAAAAGGAGCCCTCTAAGCACCATCTCTCATGCACAGGCTGGCTCAAATGATTTTTTAACTGTGTGGAATATTGCAGAAAGGCAACTTAGTCCTTCATGATGTCCAAATGCACATATTTTCCAATATGGGTCATTAACAATTCATCAAATGTTTCAGTATATTGGAAAGTTTGTGTATTTTTCCCTCCTTGCAACAAAGGTAATTATAATGCCTTGTAACTGCTCCCCAGGCTAAAGTAGTGGAGGCTGTGAGAAGGTTGCACTTTACATTGGAAGAAAGAATAAAAAAAAGAGAAAAATGAAGTTGACTTTGCTATGCAGTTTTTATGAAAATTTTTTTTAAAGTTCGTCACCAATGTTTGTGCTTCCAAGATATTTGGAGAACTCTGAAATTATTGATGGGAGAAAATTAACAGTGTACCTTTAATTGTTCAAACAGAAGCCACAGTTGATAATATTAAACTGGAAATATTGTTTACCTTAAATCACCTTCCTGGGAGTCATGTGATAGGACAGGCCTGCAGTGATTATCATAACAGTACTGTAGTGGTAACATCAAAAAGGATTGGATTACCATGATGTAAGCGAGCAATACCTCTAAATTTCACTGAGCATACAATTTAGATTTAAAATCAGAATGCAACAGAAAGTCACCGTGCTGTTTTTATTTGAAGAAAATATGGAAAATAATGTGTTGAAGTATATTGCTGTTGAATGCTGGACTCAAGCTGATATTTATGCTCATGACTTATAACCTCCTTTGAATCCATTGGTGAGGACATGGCCTTTGTAACATATTTAAATGTGCTTGCTTTTTTTGTTAGCTATGTTCTTATATGAATGTTTTGTTTCCATCTCCAGCTGTAGAAGTTGATGGAAAGATTGCCAGCTGCCAGGCTTTACTAATGCCAGAAATAGTGTGAAATCAATAGAATTCCCACCAGAACTTTTTCTCCCTCACCACAATGGGAAATCCCCAGTTAGAAAAATCAAAAAGAATCAACGTTGTGGTAGTTTATTAACATTGTGCCCTGCATTTTTGGGCAGTTCTTAAATTTTAATCCTTGATTCTGCAATTTAGCAATCATGAGTCAAAAACCACCACACTATTGCGATATGGTATCATAGTCGAGTTGGAATGCTTTCATGAACACAACGTTCAATAAGTCCTACATACTGGCAATGGTTTCAGAATCATGTATTATTTTTATGCAGTGGGATGGGCTTGGATGTATTCATTTTCTTCACTTGGCTAATTACTGCTGAAATACTGCTAGTCTACTGTACTGGAAGCTCACCAGAGCCACATGCAGAAGATTTTGATGGAACTATAATAGTAAAACTTTAACAGTAATGTATTTGTTCCCACTTACTGAAGCAGGATCTCCATATAAAACATCCAAATATAAATCATGTGATATACTTTTCCAGTAAGGGGAAAAGTCTTACCCACCCCTGAATGAGAATCTGCTGGATATGCATAGTTGGTTATTTAAGCTGGAACCTTCAGCTTTATTAGAACATTCTTGCTAACTACTACTTTAACTGGTCACTGCAGTTTGGTGCATGAGGTGTTCACTGGAAAGAGGCAAGAACTTTGTAATTTACACTAATTCAAATCCCTGATTAACTTTAACTTGACCTTGAAAAGGCAAGTCACTGCACTTTTTCACCATGCATGATTCAGATCTGCAGTGGTAAGATGGCACTCAAATTAAGCAAAGTGTGCTTCTTTGGTGCCCCACAATGAAAATTGCGGACTTTCCTACTTGAGACTCCCTGCTTGCCAACTACCTCTACTCCTGGATGCCTAAGTGCCACCTGCCAGCTGGGTACTACTTTTTACCCATTTCAAATGGGCAGCTCTTTGGGGAAGTATTCTACAGGCCAGAAATTCAGGCCTATGAATATAGCTAGCAGTCACTTTTCTACTCTACTTGAAATTCTCTGGGTATTAAAATCAAATTCCAAAATATGCAGGACTCCCAGATGTATGGGTCTACTTCGTAAAATCTTACAAGTCCAAAATTCAGGGTATGTGTCATGTCAATGCTTTCCATTGACACAAATATATTAATGTAAGTGAACCATGTAATTTTGGATACCTGGTTACTAACTTTGAGAACCATGTACTTCTTAACATCTGCTAATTGGTGCCACTTTAATAAAGATTCTTCTGCCTTTCATAAGTTTCATTTTTTGCTCTGTTGATTTTTTTTGATTTCAGAGATTTCTGGAAGCCTAATAGGCACTGTAGTTTCAGGTGGCAAAATACAGGTATAATGCACAATTTATTTTCATATAAATAAGCACAGGGCAGCTGGCACACATCGATCTGCTTCTCACTGGTCATGTAGCAGTATACAAGTTATAATAGGAATGTACAGGGAGGATGAGCTATTTGCCATTACTAGGTAGTAATGTCTTTTCTGAATAAATTTGTTTCTCTTTCAAAACAAAGTATATTTTTAAAATTGTGTTCTGCTTTGAGCTCATCATGGTATGCTTTTTGCTGAAGTTTGTGGTTTCTTAATAATTTCATGCTGACATGCTCCCAGGGAAGGATATGAGATCTGTTAAGGTAAATAAAATTTCTTAAGACCAGTATAGGTACACTCTGTACCAAGCGAGAGAAAGGGTGGAGAGTTTTCTTTGTTTCTATGTATGGAATGTCGCATTATTTATCCAAACTGCTTTGGTAAGAGTCATTTCCTGTCAATAATCTGTTTGCCAGATCTTGAATTGCTCAGCAGTGTTTCCATGTAAAAAGAAAATCCAGTGAGGTATGCCTACTGCAATGTTTAATACAAGCAAATAACCCGCTAACACTGGTTGTGTAGACCAACACATCTTTATCCAGTAGCCAGGATGATGATTACCAGTTTGGCTTTCATTTACTTAACTTCCTGAGTTAGTCTTTTTTCAACTCTCACTCATGCTTGAATGAAGAGAGAAGTTAGATGGCAAGTTGCCAAAGACCGATACTTCATTTTCACATGAATTGTACTTTCTATGGTTTGTATGCTCAGCATCATCTTTTAAAGCAAACAATTTCTCGAACAATTTTTCTTTAATTATAAAGGGACAGGTCAGCAATCTGCCTAAACTGCAAAAAATGCAAATATGACACTGTTCTCCTGTACACTGAGATGCAGTAGCACAAATCCCTAACCATTGTCGTTATCCGTCTTTCAACTGCCACCAGCAATTGATTGTTAATGCCAATAGCCAATAAGTAAGTTGAGTGTTGATGTTCAGAAACTTATCACCAAGTGAGAATGTCCATGTTAATTGATAAATCCATATTAGTATATTTTATCTTGGTTTGGTATAGAATACATACACAATGTCACTTGGCAGATTGCCAAGCCTTGTGTTGGAATTTATTCCATTGGTTAGTACAATCCTGTTTTCAGCACACAATATCAAACTCACTATTGCTTGGCTGGCTAGATGCCTTACCTGGTACACAACTATATATACAAATAATTGTTGCTGCACACTGAATAGTGGCCAGATGAATAAATTGTCCGAAGCAAAATTAGCTGAACTAAATTTTTAACTGTTCTCTTGCATTCGTAATAATTGAATAAAGATGATAAATGTAAATAATGTTTATAAAATGTTTAAACCTCCTCAAATTTTAAAATAGCTGTGCAGTGAATAAAATAGCTGCTAGTTCAACAACAGCGTTTAAGGTAATGGTTACCTTTTGTTACCGGTTAGTCAATTTGGAATTTCCAAGCAAATTATTTCTCAATTATAATGATGTATTACTTTCTTTGAATATCATTGTTATTGCATTAAAAACATATAATGTGTGGCTGTTGAGAGCAGGACAGGTACTGATTTCTTTCTCTGAATTGGCTTTTTCATATGTGCTCACTATCCACTATCTCACTTAGGCAGAACATGTGTGAACAAAAATAGCAGTATTTCCTGGGCTGCATTTTCTGTTCCATCAAGCAGTGATTTCAGCAGATGAGCCAGCAGGGCAAGCCAACAAAAGGAACAGGAAACATGGCTTTGACAATTTTCTTTTTCCTACCACCCTCTAAAGCCATTGATTGCCTCCTAGATTAGAATTACAAAACCCTTGCTTAATAATTTTGATCCTGTTTGCACCAGATCTGCACATTACAGTAGGTTAAGGCGGTATTAGGAAGGTGAACCATAACTCATTTTTCTTTTACACAGAACACCAGCACTGACACTGATATCAGTTAATTCACTACAACTTAATTACATGCTATTTTCATGAACCACTGAGGCAGCAATGAAATAATTTATATTACCATTACTTAGCAGGCATTCCCTTGAGAGCAACTTGTTTTAGTTGCATCTAATTTCAATGAAGTGTGTAATGCAGAATGCAGTTCTATTGGTGTTTAGAACACTAGTTGATCCACTTCAGGAGTTGAAAATATTCAAATTTGATTTTTCTATACTGTAAATCCATGTTTGTACTGCATCTCGATCATCAGATCAATATCTGGTGTGAAACCTATGCTGAGAATTCACAGATAATGCTTGAGAAGATAGTAGAACTGGTCAACTTCTTTCGAAACCAGTGTTGGGGGTGGGCATACCCTCTGCTGTAATTGAAGTAAATTAATTGTTTTGAGATGTGTGCAAATCAACTACAATGTAAAAATGGGACTGCTGTAATATAAAATGGAAGAGTGTCAATGTTTCTTACACTGACTTCAGAAGTCTAACGTTCAATTGACAGTGGATAGAGGTGATCATATTGGAGTATGTAAATTAAATTTGGGCCTATTTTCCCTTTCTCAACTTAAGTTGGCAGTTCATATTATTGGAACCATCAGTCTTCCTTTATTTACATTGCAGAAAGAATGATTCTTTGTGTGAGCCCACACAACAAGTATTGTTGCTATGGAAGGAGATGATATCACACTTCAGAATTCATTGGCCAAAAGTGGCCATATTTACTTAGTTACAGGCTCCATGGAAAGGAGACTGTCCACTAGCTGCAATCACAGCTAGCAAAAAGCAAAATGTTTGTGGTGGTTGGAGATTTAAAAACCTCACTAAGAATTCCTCAGGACAATGCACAAAGCCCTTCCATCTTCAGCCACGGACAGAAGTGGGAATATTTGTGATGATTGAAGTGGTCAATTTAATTTGCAATTTGTCATAAGTGGAGATGGTGGAATAGTGGTAATATCTATGAACTTGTATTGCAGAACCCTAGGCTCATGTTCTGAGGATATGGATTTGAATCCTACATGGTAAATGGTGAAATGTGAATTCAATAAAAATCTGAAATTTTGAAAAAGCTAGTCTAATTGTCACCATGTAACCAATGCCAATTGTTGTAAAAGGTCAGAAACCCACTAATGTTACTAATGTCCTTGAAGAAAGGAAATCTATCATCCTTACCTGGTCTGGCCTACATGTAAACCCCAGGCTAACATCCTTTCGAAGCTCTGTGGTCACACAGTCACTGGGAGGTTTTGCACCCACTGCATGCTGTGCTGACACACTAGCTTCAGCTTTCCAAAGCTATTGCCATGCACGGAACTCAGGTCCATGCAGCAGTTAACAATTAGTGGGAATATTGCTCCAAACCCATAGTTATGTGCAACTGTGTAACTGTCCTCTGGGCAAATAAATGTTGGCCTAGCCAGTGACAGCTACATTCCATGAACAAATAAAAATAATGAAGCTGCCTGTATCTGCATGGAACAAAATCTGGACAACATACAGGCCTGGGCTAAGTGCCTAACTAACATTTGTGCCATGTTAAGTGCCAGGCAATAACCATCTCCAACAAGTATCTAACTACCTCCTTGACATTGTGAAAGCTTCCACCGTCAATAGCTGAGACTTGTCATCATTGACCAGAGCTAGAGGAGGCACATAACTACTGCTAATACAAAAGCAAGACAGAAACTAGATATGTCACCTCCCGAAGCCACCTACAAGGCATAAGTCAGGAATGTGAAGAAATACTCTCCGCTTGTAGGGATGAGTTCATATCCAACAACATTCAAGAAAGTTGATACATTCCAGGACAAAGTTGCCCAATAAAGCCCAACCACTATCTTAAATACTCATTTGCTAGCCAATATATTGGAACTCCCTGGGGGTACTTTGACTGCATGAGGACTGCAGCAAATAAAAACCTCAGTTTTCTACCACTTCCCTGAGGGCATTTAGGAATAGGCAATAAATGTTGGCCTTGAAAGCAACATGCACTTGACATGGATAAATGCTTTTCAAAATCAGCTATAGTGACTATTCACTCCTGCTTCTATTATCATTTCCATCCCACTGCCACCAGCCAAGTACTGTGACAAGTTTGAGGCTTTTGTTCTTGCCTTTCAAGTAATCCACAGGATTTTTAATTATTTTACCTAAGAGAATGCCTAAATTATGAACCGCCTCCTTTTAAAAATAGAAGCACTATCTGGAGGTGAAAATCCACAGATTTACATTGATTGTGAATTTTGGTACATAGTTTCCAACTGTGGTTAACACTTCTCTCAACCACTGTCCATTTTAGAGTGGAATAAGAACCATGAAACCTCTTCTAATAATACTATCCATTAAGAAGTAATATTAGACAAAATTAGTACACTTTGTATTGGTGATTTCAGTGAGCAAAGTCTGAGGAGTAGAGGTTATATTGTTTATCCTAAGGTGGTTCATAATGTTGTACGTATTTTCACTTCTTAAACTGGTAGTGACGTTCTGCCTGAGCTTACATCATGTAATTTACATTTTGTTCCACTGCATGTATGCCTGACTGGTGCTCAGGTAGTTGCAGATTAATGAAACAAACTGATACAGAAGATGAAAAAAATTGTACAGATGCAAAATGCAATTATTCCTATATTACTTCTTCACATAATTTTTAACCAAAAAAGTAACACGCTAAGTAGTTCAAATGCCAATAGAACTAGTTTTTAAAAAATGTCATTAAATTACTGGATGTACGATGAAGGGGAGAGAGAAACAGATTGGAGGTGCTCAGTGTTTGGTGTTTCAAAATACATTCTGAACACCTGTTGCAGGTCATACCAAAACCTTCTTCCAATCTGATCCTTAAAGCCTACAACTGGTTATAAAACTGTTTAATTATGCCATCAAAATCATGTATGTTATTCTGTGTTCATAAAGATGTTTTTATAAATGTTTATTTTTGCCAAAGATATGCAAATTGCATACAAATGGTATTGTTAAATAAACTTTCTTTTTATTTGTAAGTTGCTGATTATAATCATTGGGTTTTCCTAAAGCTGTGTATATCCTCAAATCATTGGTCAGCATGAGTCATTATTAACAGATTTGCTCCTGGATTTCTGCTCACACAACACCTCCACTGCTAGAAATCCTATGACATAAGCCTCTTGAATGTAAGGTCCAACTTTAAGGAGGTGTATACACTTTGTCGAAGGAAAGGCTTTCAATGCTGTCTTTTTACAGTCTGCACATCCATGTAGAGAGATACCTCTTCCAAATCCTTGAATTCTTTTGGGTCAGCCATGTGCCTTTCAAGATCAAGATGATAGGCTGAGGGGAATTTTTTTCATGCAGAGGGTGGTGCATGTATGTAACGAGCTGCTGGAGGAGGTGGTGGAGACCGGTACAATTACAACATTTAAAGCAACTGGATGGGTACACGAATAGGAAGGGTTTAGAGGGAAATGGGCCAAATGCTGACAAGTGGGACTAGATTAATTTAGGATATCTGGTCGGCATACAGAACAGGTCACAACATGTCCTGGCTGCAGTTTTAACCGAGGTCAGAATTTAAGCTAGCTTGACTAAAATTCCCAGCATACTTGATTAGTTCTTAACCATTTCCACTGTTGGACACCGGACCACACTGCAGTATCGTGTTATAAAGAACACTGCACAGCACAATTGTGGAGATTGATGCTGGGGCATATTGAGGGAGCATCTAGATCTGTCAAATCACTGGAATCTAGCGCAAGTTTGCCCTCATTATGCTGGTGTTGTGAGATGGCTACTGTTATTATCTTTTCTGTACCTTCATGGTAGGATTCCTCACCGATCTTTATTTGGTATCCCATGTCTCCCAGGAGTCAACAGCTTAAGCTGTTCAGTGGGGAGGACAACCATTGGTAGATGGAACTGCTTAAGAAGGAAGGATTCTTGGGATTCCTGGCTCAGATATGCATGATATTCTTGCTGTAATCACAATAAAAATGTACATTAAGGAGTGGAGACCCTTCTGGTTAGACACGTGGCTGATAGAATGGTACCTTTATCAGCACAGGCACAACTGACAATGTCTAATATTGAAGTGACACCCACTGCTAGCGCAGTCCATTATCTCCCAAGATGGATGGATGCCAGAGGTATTTTCTCTTTTGACAATGACACCCCATTGTGTACTCACTAATCCAAAGTTGCAAGATGCTGAGATATTATAGATAAAACATAGGTTATACGCCAGGAAATAATCTTGGTTGTACTATGGCATACTACATGAGAACTAAATATGAGAATTAACCACACACCTAGTCAGGCTTTTTCAGTTCAGCTACAGCATCATCTAACATATAAGATATTGCTTAAGAATTACGTCTCCATGAAAAGCAGGACAAATCCAACTGAGGAGCTGTCAATGAAAATGCTATAGAAATGCAGTTCTGTTTCACCAATGCGCAATTTGGGAACTGCCAATGGCACTTCTCTCCAGAGCTCATTACAGCCTTGGTCCAAATATGAGGCAGACAATTCTAGAGATGAGAATGATTATCTTTGACATCAAAGCAAAATTGACCAATTGTAGTATCAAAGTGCCCTAGAAAAATTCTCTGATATGATGTGAGAAAAATCTTTTTGACTCAGTAGCAATACTGTAGGCTCAAAAATCTTCAGCTGCTTCATCAATGACTTTCCCTTTTTCTTACACTTATTTTAAGTGTTTGCTGATGAAAGCAGTATTCAGCACCATTCAAGATTCTGTAGACACTTAAGCAGTCAATGGTTACATGCTGCAAGACCTAGACAACATTCAGGTTTGGATGAAAAATGGAAACTAACACTGATGCCATCAATGATTGAATACTCTACACTTATCTGGATGCCTGCAGCTCCAATGACACTCAAAGGAAGCTCGACATCATTCTAGGACAAAGTAGCTCATTTGATTGGCATCCATCCACCAACTTAAACATTCATTCTCTCCATCACAAGGAACCAGTGCATGCAGCGTTTACCATCTACAAGATGCAATGCAGCAACTTTCCAAGCCTCCTCCAACAGCATCTTTCAAATCTTTGATTTTTATGACCAAGATGTAGAAGGGCAGTAAAAATGTGGAAATACATCCATTTTCAAGATCCCTCTGAATCAATTACCATCCTGAATTGTAATTACATTAACATTCCTTCATAATCACAATAAAAACCAAGAAATGTCATCCTAACTGGATTGCGGGTGTAACCACCACACATGAACCTCAACGGTATAATAAGACAATTCAATACCACTTCCTTATGGACAATTAGAGATGGACAACAAATTCTCACATCCCATTAAAGTAGATTTTAAAAATGAAGGATTAAAGAGTAACTAAATTGCCTAGTGGCATTTATAGATTCACAGATTCATACAGCACAGAAAAGGCCCATCAAGTCTGCACCAACATAACTACCATTAAAGGTGCATTAATCCCAATTTCCTGCACTTGTCCTATATGCTTGAATTTTATGATATTTGAAGTGCTCATCCAAATATTTTTTTAAAGATTATAATGTTTCCAGCCTCCACTACCTTTCCAGGCATTGCAATCCAGATTCCCACCACCCGCTGAGTGAAAAAGTTTTTTTTCCCAAAATCCTGTCTGAATCTCCTGCCCCTTACCCTAAAACTATGCATTCTCCTGTTTGACCCCTCAACCAGGGGGAAAAGCTGCTCTCTATTCACCCTGTCCATACCCCTCATAATCTTATACACCTCAATTATGTCTCCCCTCAATTTTCTCTGCTCTAAAAAAAAAAATCCAAGCCTATCCAGTCTCTCCTTAGGGCTCAATTTCTCCAAACCAGGCAATGTACTGGTGAACCATCTCTGTACCCCATCTAGTGCTGTCACATCCTTCCCGTAGTGAGGTGACCAGAAGTGCACACAGAATTCCAGCTGTGGCCTAACCAACATTCTGTACAACTCTGACATTACCTCCTTGCTCTTTTACTCTAAGCCAAGACTGTTAAAAGCAAGTGTCCCATATGCCTTCTTAACTATCTGTGCATGACCAGGAAGAGCTCACTTCTGTGTTGTGACATGAATAAACAGTTCAAAAATTAAACCTGGAGATTTCTGTCTGTACAATTTAAATGAGAGAAAGTCTTGTGGTGTACTGTAAACTCTGGGTTTGAGTTCCATGTCAGGACTTGCTGGCCGTAGAAGATAGGTTCACAATGTGGTCAAACAGGTTAACTAATAACCTGTAAGTCCCTCAAATATGCCTGATGACATGTGATAAGGTGAGAGCATCTCCGAGCCAGCCATCCTGCAGGACCATGGACCAATCCGATGTAAGTCTATGTACCAAACTTCAAATAGGACAGGAGATAAGATGGACAACTTAAGTAACAAGCTATATGATTGTTTATCATAATCACATTATACCATTCATACACTGGGCCACCATGCCACAATAAAACAATCATTTTACAGAACATGCATAGAAGATTCAATAGATTCACAAGCATACACCTGTGTAAAGTACTCACCCTCTTAAATTTATAATTTCATCTTTTGGTTTTAGTGAATGCTTGCTATTGTTCTTCTCTGTTATTTTACAGGACAATACATGAAATAGCCTGTAATGTGGCAAGAAGTACACAAATACATTCAGCACCACTGGATTGTCTGTTCTGGAATGCTGTGGTACACAACTGCAATGCTTCATAAAAGAACAATAAAATGTGTGTAATTTGTGTGGTATAATCATTACTGTAAGAACTTGTCGGCTTTCTGTGACACTAAAAAAAGGAATAATTTTTCTTGTTGCAAAGCAATGGGATTACCTTTTAATTATAACATAAAAAGTAGTGGTGAATTGAAACCCCTTATTCAATCTACTCATTTCAGTTCTCCTCTAACTCCTTTTTGTTTGAATCAACATTCTTGAACTCCAAGTACAGTCTGTTCCTGAACACCTTTTAAAATTAATTCATTTTGTTTATATTACCGTTCTTCATTTGTCGTCATTAATGCATAACTTCACACTTCTCTGCATTAAATTTTACCTGCTATATTTTTACTAGATTTTCAATTTTCCTATCATCTGTAAATTTTGAAATTATATTCTCTGTACCCAAGTCCAATTGATCAAACAAATCAAAAAAGCAGTAGTCCTATTAGAGCTTTTTAGGGGACACAACGGTATGCTTCCCTCTATTCTGTAAAACAACTGTTCACCATTTTTTTCTGCTCTCTATTTCTCAGGCAAGTTTATTTTCATGATGTCACTGCCGCATTAAACACATGGCCTTCGATTTTGCTGATAAGTCGATATTGTGATAGTTTACTAATCACATGCTCTAAGTTCAACATATGAATATACTATACAACAACATAAAACAACAGCAAAATGCTACAGATACTGGAAAGTTGAAATAAAAACAGAAATGATGGATATACTTAGCAGGTTAGACAGCATCTTTGGAGAGAGACACAGAGTTGAGCAGCTAAATTCTCCAAATAGAGTTTGGATTACAGCTGAGAATTGGAGCCCAGGAAAACAAGGTGGAATGGTATCAGAACAATTCCCTGGTGTATTCCCACCTCCAGGGGAACATGCCAGGGAAAGTCAGCAGCATTCTCCAACAAGCAGACAGTAAATAATGCACATAGAAAACAATTAGGGCTATTTTCCAAATAAAATAAGACTTCCCCAATGTCAGAACACACCCCAGTGCCATATGGAGAGCCTGCCAGCTTGGTAGAGGTAAACTTCAGGTAATGGGATCCTAAATGCCCAAAGCCTTGCCCAAACAGAAGGTCCAATCTGTCGTGGGTTCTTCAATCTAATATTTGCAAAAGGTGTTGGAGGAAGTGATCTTTGAAGGCAGCGGGATAGGTAGATTAGCTGGTCAAGAAGACATATGGGATACTTGCCTTTATTAATCAAGGCATTGAATACAAGAGCAAGGAGGTTATGACAGAGCTACATATAATATTAGGCCACAATTGGAGTTCTGGTCACCATTCTACAGGAAGGATG